GCCGCTAAAGTTTCGTCGGAAAGAAATTATACGAGAAGTTAACAAACGAATAGAGACGTAACACTATTATATATTTGTGAATGTATATCTGTTTGTTTGTCAATACAAATCGATATGGACCACTCTACAAATGTCAATATAGGTTCATTAGGACTAACTTTTCATTCAGAATGTCATGGACACATTGGATTTCACTTTCGAGGCCATCTGAGGTCGCAAGGGGACAAAATAAGGCAAAAACTGGTGAAAATTACAGTCTGCATCGTCAAAAATGGGTGAAAACACTATGAAAATCATTTTCAAACATACTAAAACTGCCCAAACATGTTCAATTTGCATAACAGCTGTTCATCACCTTGTTCAATTTCAGAATGTCAGAAGTTTCTAGAATGTTCAAAGTCATCTCCAAACATAATTTCCCTTCCACTGATTTCAATTATTGTCACTACTGATTTCAAGACTACTAAAAGATTTTAGAGATCTCTTCATACTACTTGAGTGTAGCAACTCAAGCTATATAAGGCCTGTATTAAATTTTCTGTTTCAGATTCGATATTAAACTTCCAGCAGTGATTGTTCAATAAGTGCCACTGCTGTACACCAGTATTATACGAAACTCCACCTCAAGATGGGACAAAAAAAACGAAAAAATATTGGCAGAAGCTCTTCAAAAGCTCGCAGAGTTCGAGAAACAAGGGATCAAGAGACAGCTGAGGAACATAAATCTCGCACCAGTGCACAAGCCTGCAGACAGGCACGTAGCAGGCAGTGGGAAACAGAAGAGCAGCACTAGGCCCGCTTCAGTTCTCAGGCCTCCAAATAGGCACATAGCAGGCAGCAGGAAACAGAAGAGCAGCGCCACGCCCATTTCATTTCTCAGGCCTCAAGACAAGCAAGGAGCAGGCTGCAGAAAATAGAAGAGCAACATCAGGCACGCCTCAGTGCTGATGCCACCAGACATGAAAAGGGCAGGTTATAGGAAACAGAACAGCAACATCAGGCTTGCCTGAGTGCTCAGAAAAGCAAGGAGCAGGCTGCAGGAAACAGAAGAGCAGCATCAGGCTCGCCTCACTGCTGATGCCACCAGGCATTCACAAACCAGAAAACAAGAGTCTGCTGAGGAAGAACAAGCAAGACTCCAAGCAATGTGCACAAGAACTGTCAGGCAAAGGTCATCACTATTTACTGTGGCCAATATGCTAAATGCTGCATTCAATTACTCAGCTGACATTGACTATTCTTCTATAAGGGCAGTCAAAATTGGTTCCATGTCAGAACTGTCAACATTGTGGAGCAAAGAAGTAGAAACGTGAAACACCATCAATGTGTTGTTCCAATGGTAAAGTTAGCTTACCTCTACTAGCCAAGCCACCCTAACCATTGAAAATGCTGCTCCTAGGTGAAACACCAGATTCAAAACATTTCCGAAAGATGATCAGAGCCTACAACTCAGCATTTCAAATGACATCTTTTGGAGCCAACATCGTTGCCGAGGGAGGATTTATGCCAACATTTAAAGTACAGAGACAAATCTACCATCGCATTGGATCACTCCAACCTCATGCAGATGAAGATCCACAGTTTCTACAACTCTATTTTGTGGGAAATATGCAAAAACAAGCAGAACATCGTTGCAACTACATGAAGGGTACCAGACTTTGTATCATCCTGCAATTCCAGAGATGATGCATACCACTAACAATTACGTACAAAGCTTTAAATATGCACTTGAAAGTGCTCCTACTTTGGACTACCAACTAGTGATCAATGCTGATAAACGACCATATGGAGAACATCGTGGTCGATTCAATGAGCCAACTTGCAATGAGGTTGCCTCGGTCATGAATGGCCAGGAACATGGAAAAAGAGACATTGTCTTAAAACTTCGAGATAACACTATAAAGAGGATAAATGAGACACATAGATCTTATGATGCCCTTCAGTATCCGCTTATTTGTGTGCATGGAGAAGATGGATACCACTTTGGAATTCCACAAGCTCAAGGAACAAAAACTGTGGCGTGCATGGATTCTGATTCGAAATAATTACTTCAACCATTTGCAACTTTGTCAAGATTTGTTCCAACAGTATGCTGTTGATATGTATGCCAAGGTGGAGACAGAAAGATTGGTGTACATAAAAACACACCAACAAGAACTGCGTGTTGACTCCTACATTCATCTTAGAGATATAATCAACAATGATGAAGGTAGAGGCAGAGGCATTGGTCAGTTGTGCATTTTCCATACACTTTCATAGGAAGCCCAAGATACATGCATGAACGAACTCAAGATGCCACGACCTATGTCAGAACTTATGGAACACCATATCTCTTCATCACTTTTACCTGCAATCCTTCTTGGAAAGAGGTGAATGATGAGCTTTCCCAAAACAGTCTGCGAAGGACCAACAAGATTTGTTGGCCAGAGGTTTTCGACCAAAACTCATCAAAATGATGCAATTCATAAAAACGTATGAAATCTTTGGCCCTACACGATATGACATGTACATTATAGAGTGGCAGGAAAGAGGCCTCCCTCGTGTACACATTCTCATTTGGCTAAAAACAAAAATCCAATCTAATCAAATAGACTCGGTTATCTCTACAGAGCTTCCAGACCCTATAAATGACCAAAGCCTCTTTAACACCATAAAAAACAATGATTCATAGACCACGTGGGCCTATAAGTCCAACGTCTTTATGCATGGAAAACGGAAAATGTATGAAAAAGTATCCCAGGCAACTGATAAAAGAAACCCAAACTGGTGAAGATGGATATCCTCTCTACAGAAAGAGAAAGCCTGAAGATGGAGGATTTACAGCTACGATAAAAATGAGAAATGGTCAGGATGTTGACATTGACAATCGATGGATAGTGCCTTATTGTTCCCTGTTGTAAAAGACCTTTGATGCACACATCAATGTTGAGTTTTATAATTCAGTCAAGTCAATCAAATATGTGTGCAAGTATGTCAACAAGGGATCTGACGCTGATATCTATGCTCTTCAAGATCAAAACACAAATGATGAAGTGACTCAGTTCCAACTGGGGAGGTACATTAGTAGCAATGAAGCATTTTGGGATTTCCAATTCATGAACGACATCCCACCATCCAACAACTTAGTATCCACCTAGAAAACGGATAGAGAGTCTACTTCACTTAAGAAAATGCTTTGCAACAAGCATTGGCTCCAAAAAATAGAACACTGATTGGCTTCTTTAACCTCTGCCAAGAAGATCCCTTTGCATGCACATTACTTTATTCTGAGGTCCCATCTTTATACACTTGGAGCAACAACAACTGGAGTAGGAGAAAAAGAGATACTCCTGTAGATGGTCATCCTGGGGTTTTTAAATATGAAGCCTTGGCAAGGGTCTATACTGTTCATCCCAGCCAGCAAGAGTGCTTTTACCTTCGTATGCTGCTTCATGATGTGAGAGGCCCGACATCCTTTGAGGATTTGTGTATTGTCCAAGGTCAGGTCTGTACCACCTATAGAGAGGCGTGTTTCAAGCGAGGCCTTCTTGAAGACGATGCACAGTAGAAGTTCACACTGACAGAAACAGCAGTCTCACAGTCACCATCCAACCTCAGAAGTTTGTTTGCTGTTTTCCTGCAAGTTTGTGGTGTTTCAAATCCAGTTGCCCTGTGGCACAATCACAGAGAAGATCTTTCAGAAGACTTCAAGCACCAGACTCAACTACAAAATCCCAATATAGAAGTTAGCTACAATGATGCCATTTTTAACTTGGCTCTTATCACCATTGAGGACAAAGTATTGTCTTTGGGAGGAAAAGAGTTTCCATTATTTGGCCTTCCTGAAGTTCAATGCAATCAGGATGTCAACCTCAATCGTGAGGTTCTGCATGAGACCACTTACGATATTCAAGCTCTTAACCAATAAATTTCAGTTAATGAGCCAAAATTGCTACCTGCTCAAAGAACAGCGTATGCAGAAATAATTGATAGTGTCCAACATCAGAAGAGTGGAGTCTTTTTCATCGATGCACCAGAAGGAACAGGGAAAACATTTGTTAGCAACCTGTTGTTGACAGAAGTTCGTCAACATAAGGTAATTGCACTTGCAGTTGCCTCATCTGGAATCGCAGCAACTCTTTTGCCTGGAGGCAGGACAGCCCATGCTGCACTTAAGCTCCCATTGAACTTGACCATAAATGAAAATGTTACATGCAATATCAGTATAGGAACTGGGATGGCAGAAGTTCTCAGAAAATGCTAAATGATTGTTTGGGACGAATGTACAATGTCTCACAAAGCAGCATTAGAAACTATTGCAAGATATTCGTGAAAGCAAAAAGATAATGGTGGGAGTCATTTTGGTTTTAGCTGGAGATTTCAGACAAACATTGCCGGTTATTCCAAGAGGCACACGAGCCGATGAAGTTAAAGCTTGCCTAAAATCATCATATCTTAGGAGAAACGTAAAAAAAATCTCCTATCTACCAATATGAGAGCCAATCTGCATGGAGATCAATTATCTGGATAATTTGCTGACAGTCTATTCCAACTAGGCAATGGTAAAGTCAAACAACATCAACAAGGAACAACTGACATGGGACCAATCTGTACACAAGTAACACCTGTTGATGAACTCATAGCAAATGTTTTCACAAACCTTCCTGAAAACTATCAAAATCACAGGTGGCTGTGTGAAAGACCAATATTAGCTACAAAGAACAATGTTGTCAATGTCATCAACACACAGCTGTTGCAGCAGATACCTGGTAATACTCAGTGCAACAAGTCAGTTGACTCAGTGCCTGATCAAACCCAAATGGTCAACTATCCTCCAGACTTTCTGAATTCATTTGAACCTCCAGGAGTCTCACCAAATTATCTCAGTGTAAAAGTAGGAGCACATATCATGGTACTCCGAAATTTGGATCCACCACGTCTGTGCAATGGAACAAGACTGGTAGTAAAGAAGCTTATGCCCATGTTATTGAAGCTACAATGCTTTCTGGGTGTGGCAAGGGTGAAGATGTTTCACTTGAGAATTTCAATGATTCCCACTGATATGCCATTTGAGTTTAAGAGACTACAGTTCCCATTCGCTTAAGCTTTTCCATGTCCATCAACAAATCGCAAGGTCAGACATTGAAGGTAACTGGCTTGCAGTTGGAAGAGCCCTGCTTCTCTCATGGACAGCTCTATGTTGGATGTTCACGTGTTGGAAGTCCAATGCATCTTTATGTAAATGCTCCATGTGGAAAAACTAAGAACATTGTTTATCATGAAACCCTTAACTGACTATATTTTCATGAAACCCTCAGCTGACTATGTCTTCGACAAAAGTCAAGTTTCCTTGAATTGTGTATCTCTCTTTCAAATAAAATAAATATTTTGTCTGAAAGAATTATAATTCAGTTCAATTACCATGAAGCTTTTTTAGTTATTTTCCTCTTAATCAAGTGGTCACCAAACTGAGTGCTTCAGTCCCCGAGCAACGCCGGGTATCCTTCTAGTATAATATAAGATAATATTCAAATCAAGTCATGTTGGAATAAATGAAACATATCAATCAAAAGTGGAACATGCCATGCACAATTCTTTATGAAATGTAAGGGGGACAAGTGCCCCCTCTTGCTCCTTCCTGCTGGCGCCCATGACTGCAAGATTAAGGAGTGATAGTAAATCATTTCTTGAGATTTTGAAGTTATTAGGACAAAATCGGGAAGAAAGAGGTAGAAGTTAAAAGAGACCAATAAGATAGAAAATTATAAGAAGACCAGGAAGAACGTGACAGGAATTTAGGAGAGTAATTGAAAAAATGCGACATACTACTTAAAGGAGAATTAAAATCAGAAATACATCTTATTGAAGAAAAGATCAATGAACCTATTAGAGATGTACAGAGATATTACAATGATAATATTGAAGAAGTATGGGAGGACATCAATAAAGATAAAGAAAGACATCAACGAGTTAGAAAAGAGCATTATTGAGGTAGAAAAGAACATCAGTGACAAAATAAAACATATGGAAAGCGAATTATTAAATGCAAAGATTAAACCAGCCATACCTATTTTTCCACTTGTTCAAGACAATTTCTAGAACTTAACTGACCAATTCAACATTGTCCCACAGAGAAACCAATGGACTATGATGGGAAGATACTATGGGGGCCATATCAAGCTCAATTCGAAATCATTTCCAGAGTGAATGGGTGAAATAATGAAAAACAAACCACACATCCTGCTGCCCATTTAAAAGAAACAGCTTTGACAACATTAAGTAACCTTCCATCTGATGATGACAAAACCTTGTCGAAACGTTGTACATTTGCTGTTATATTAAAGTTTTTCTTCATTACCCATTCAAGCCGTCTCCAGCCATTATTAGAAAGAATAAAGCCTTTACTACAGGAAATGGATTGTTGAAGTTTGTCATGCTGTCATTTGGATTAAGTAATGCTCCTGTTACATTTCAACAATTAATGGAGTGTGTTCTGTCTAATTTACCCAGTAATTTCTTACTATTCATAATCAGACATGGGAAGACCTTTGAGAGTGCTTATGAAGACTTAAGGAAGATTCTGGATCAGTTAAAAGAGTGAACCTTGAGATAAATCCCAGGAAGGGTGAATTATTCTGTCAACTGATGAGTTTTCTGAAGTTTTGTCACAAGTACAATATGTGATTTCATACTATAGCAAGGCATGAATGCCGCAGAAAGAAGGTATTGTAAAACTCGAAAAGAGTAAGGAAGTGTTATTTGAGCCCTAAGTCACTTTCATCATTATCTATATTATATATAGACAAAGTTTGTGCTCCAGACAGATCATGCAGCTTTGAAGTAGCTGGTGAAGTTTTGTAGTATAGAAGGCTTCAAGAACTCCAGGAGTACAACTGTAACATCATATATTACCCTAAATGGAGCCATGGAAATGCTTATGCATTATCCAGAAAACCATGTGTTAATAGAGAATATAAGCACTGTGAAAAGAGAGAAGCACACGACAAAAAAGATGATTAACATAAAGTACAGCAAAATATAATCCAAGATGAGGAATCCCCCTCTTTAATCGACACAATATTTTCATTATACAATCAACATAAATAAACCTCTAACTCATATTAACTCGTACAACTTTCTGTAGCATTTCGTGAACTGAGTCAATCACATTTCAGAAGAGCATGACACATAACCATTGAGAAGCAAGTATAAATCTTACTGAACCATCGTTTTGATATGTAATCTTTGTCTGAGTGAGAGAATTAGTGTAGGTTTACAGCTTTTAACGTCGTATTTACAAGGACGCTAACTAAGTATCAGGTCGTCAAGAAATTAATGTCGCTTTTTATAGGTGAAAAAGCCCGAACAACTTATATATCAAAACAAAACATTTATTAAATGAAATAGTCTCCATTCTTTTCGACGATGTTTTTCCATCTTACAATCAGGTTGTTAATGCTCTGAATAAAGAAGTCACTTGGCTTTGAAGCAAAAAAACATGTCGATGTCCTCTTTCACACCTTCCACATTTGCATACGTTTTCCCATTAAGATGGTGTTGCAGCGAACGAAAAAGATGGCAACCTGATGGTGCCATATCCGTAGAATATGGTCGGTGGGGGAGAACTTCCCAACCTAACTC